TGAGCAGATTTACGAGCAATCCCAGTCATGAGCACTGGAATGCTTTGAGAAGGGTACTTAAGTACTTGAGGTACACCCTTGAATACGGGCTAAAATACTCGAGATACCCAGTTGTACTTGAAGGGTACTGTGATGCAAGCTGGATATTAGATTCAAGAGATTCTCGCTCCACTAGCGGATATGTTTTTTGTATTGGAGGAGGTGCAGTTCCGTGGAAATCCACAAAACAAACGTGTATAGCTCGGTCAACGATGGAATCAGAGTTCATCGCTTTAGATAAAGCTGGTGAAGAAGCCGAGTGGCTTAGAAATTTTTTATCCGATATTCCATGTTGGGATAAGACTTTGCCGCCTATGGTGATTGTGATAGCCAAGCTGCTATTGGTAGGGCGCAAAGCAACTTGTATAACGGTAAGTCTAGACATATTTGTCGTAGACATAATACCGTACGTCAATTGATCACAAATGGTATTATTTCCATTGACTATGTGAAGTCTAAAGAAAATTTGGCTGATACTTTGACGAAAGGATTGAATAGAGATCAATTGACAGTTTTGCTAGAGGGAATGGGCTTAAAAATCCACAATGTAAAGAATGATCATAGTGGTAACCCTACCATGCTGAGTAAAGATCCCACGAACTTGGTTCCAAGGGAAAACTAAGCTATGAAAATTCAGTTGAGCACTTGAAACATATGAATGTCCAAAGCTATTCCCTAGAGCACTCCAAGTGCAGGATGACATGTTGATTGTGGTAAGGGTAAGTCATCTGGACTTTTAATGAATCCCTAACCTTGTAAAGGTGGAGTATTACAGGATACTCTTGATAGGGAGGTCACCTATATAAGTGTGAAGTGTGGGCCGCTTCAAATGTAAACACTTATTAATCCATTGTGTTGTCCATGGCCAAAACGGACACAACATTAGAACGGAATGGAGTTAAGACTCTATTGTGTGAATGTCATTGACTTGGTGTACACTATGGAGGAATAGTTCAAGGTATTAAGTCCACTAGGCTACCAGTACATCCGATGATGTTTACTAATAAAGGTTCAAAGAGAAGCAATAGAGTTTTGTGAGGATTGAGCACAATAGTCTATATATATTTATTTACACTCATGTGGGTGATTGTTGTTAAATGATTGAGTGTAAATATTATTGTAATTATTTAGTATCATAATTGTAAGTGGCAGACCAACCACTACAATTAAAACCTAATCACATGGAAGAATATTAATCAATAGATTATGCGGAAGGAGAAAACGCGTAGCAACCTGGCATTGGCATATCTGGTCAGCATTTATCTGATCTTTCTCCAGGCTTTATCTGCTCTCTCTCTCTCTCTCTCTCTATACTATAAATATGTTCATTTTGCTGAGATAGAGGACGAAGAAAAACACAGAGAAAAGAAGATAATAAGAGAGGAAAGAAATGAAAGAAAAGATAAATTTATGTCCAAATATCGGATATAAAAATATCAAAAGAGAAGAAACAAGCAATATTTTTATTTGTTTTAACTTTTAAGATATTACTTTTGTTGTTAAGTGCTCAATTCTTGACTCCGTTCCAGTTCGCCGGAACTCATAAATCTGGTGTGCTACAGATTTAGAGACGTTTGTCTTTGTATCTTTGGGGAAGTTACGCCTGAACCGTTAGCTGCCACACGGGGCGTATTCTTCTTGCGGAAAGAGTTTACTCGTCTCGGCTAAAATATTTCCGTTTTTCAGTTGTAATTAATTTTTCAGTTCAATTGTAATTTTTATTTTTAGATTATTTGTAAGAACTGAAAATATATATCAATTCGTAGGATTCCCGTGTAATTCACGTTAAATATCCAACATAATTTGCATGTCAGTTCGACAAATGGCTCATTGGTTTATCATAATATATAACAATAAATATTTAGATTCTTCATAATTTAATAATTTACATGATAGTTCAAAAATGACCATTTAATTTATCATTTTCATATCGTATATGCATGATCCCAAAAGTAATTGTTTCCTTATAATTTTATATATTCAGCATTAATTTTTTAAATCCACGGGGGATAAACATGCCAATTACTATTTTGGATTATTTTATACTAAACACATTATATTATGAGTATGTTATATTTTATTGTATCCATAAGAAATCAAGTGATTTGTTATTAATGTTAATGAATAAGATTTTACTGTAATATTATGAAAAATCATAATAAAATTTCCGTAACTAATTTATATTTTTATTGTGTAATTATATTGGAAATTTTATCATGCATATCCAGATATTTTCTACTAACAAAATATATTAGTCGCTTTTTTGAAGACATTGTAGAAATTCACATAATATGGTTTTGTCACAAAAAGAATAAGAAAGTGCATTGACTCGTAACTAGTATTAAGAATCGAATTTTGATTGTGGTAATTATCACAAAATAACTTTCAACATTGATACAACTTTATTTATATAGAAAGTCATGTTATTAACTGAATTGCATGATTTGCAATAGAATTGTATTAATTTTATTTTTCAAAAGTATTAAACATTTTTTCTACTGTATTTCCTTTACTATTAAGTCAATATATTTAATTATAAAACCAAAGTTACTATTTTAAATAATTCCGACAACATCTTTCAATATATGTAGATTCATATATTAATTATCATGGACCAGTATTCCTTTTAATATATAAAAGCTTATAAATTTTTCATTTGTATCTATTTTTTTATTTACAATATATTAAAATATTCATATTTTAACGATTTTCGATTTGACATCCATATTGCAAATATAAAATATAAATAATTTCATCTATCTTTATAAAATATAATTTTATTATCAAATAAATTAATAAATTTTTATAAATATAACTTTTTTTATAAAAAAAATAAAAATCTAATCATCAATACACAATAAAATAATTATTTTAATCTATTTTTTCCATAGATTTTTGGTAAAGTATAGAAATTAAGTATTACATAAAATATCTATAATAAATATTATGAAATATTTGTTTACAATTTAAATATATTATTTAATGAACCAGAAGTTATTATATTATTTAAAAAATAAAATATAAAGCGATATCATAATTAATATAATAAATAATTTTATGGTTCATAAATTTATAAAATAATATCTTTCTGCGGAAATTAATATTATAAATTATTAAATTATATAAAAATTAAAAAAACTTAAGGAATAAATAAACGAGAGACACCAACTCTATAGATATAAAATATAATCAAAATACAATAAACAAATATATTTATAAAAAAAATCAAATCAGATATATGGAGTTGTAAATAATATTTGTTTTAGACATATATAATTTAAAATATCATTTTTGATAAATTTAGTGAGAAAATGTGGATGCCAATGTGATTTATCACTTTGCATTATACATAATTTCATAATAAATATATAAATAGTTTTTATTTTTTATTGTATAAATTTAAGTACTTGTGTACTACTATCATATTATACCATAAACAACCATTTTAGGATATCATCTGAAACAATGTAGAAATTCATGAGTATCAACAAAACATGAATATGAGAAATATTAAAAAAAAAAAATTATGTCTCAACATAAATAAACTGTGTATAAAGTTTAAATGTTATTATGATGCTGTAAATCAAAATACGAATGAATATCATAATTAAGAAAATACATTTGATAAATTTAGAAAATATTACATTTGTATATATTAATTAAAATTATCCAATATTATAAATTTAAAATACTTAAAAATTAATATATGAGAAATCAATCAATACAATACAATAAGGCATTTAAGAAAACTACAAAAATCGAAATAAAATGTATGGTATTGTAGATATCATTTGCTTCGGACAGATATAATTTGGTAAATATAATTAACAAGTATTTTACTTTTAACAAATCAAGTGTATAACACAATTTCATGATAAATAATATCATTTTTTAGTTCTTTAATTTTTTATAATTTATCAATATAAATATAAATATTTTATTATTTTTCTTATAAAATATCATTTTTTTTCAAGTAACCATATAGTATACGATATCGACTAATAGAAAAATAAACATTAAAACAACCATAAATATCAAAATTAGAAAATAATAATAATAATAATAATAATAATAATAATAGTAATAATAATAATAATAATAATAATAATAATAATTAGAAATTTATAATAGAAAAACGCTCGCCTCCCTTCTTTTCCCACACCACACACAGTAGAGAGAGAAAAAAAGGAATGGAAAATTAGATAATCCCAATTCACAATCTCATCTCAATCTCCATCTCTGGCGTTGTGTGCTCCTCTGTGTATATATGGATGCCTTTACTTTTCATCTCTATCCCATTTCTCGCTGAGAGAGAAAAAAAACGATTTCATTTTTTTATAAATTTTATTTATGGCCATGCGGCGAGGCAGAGCGCCGGGAAGGGTTGCAACGGCGGCGGTTCGCGCTGGAGAAGCCAACGGATCTGGAGGATCTAACGAGATCAAATTCAGAGGCGTCAGAAAGAGGCCGTGGGGCAGATACGCCGCCGAGATCAGAGACCCCTGGAAGAAGGCACGTGTCTGGCTCGGCACCTTCGACTCGGCTGAGGCCGCCGCCCGGGCCTATGACGCCGCCGCCCGCTCGCTCCGCGGTTCCAAGGCGAAGACGAATTTCCCCCTGCCCCAAAATGGCGGCGCCTTCCCAGATTTCAACCCTCAAAACCCTAATCAACCGCTTGTCAACAGCAATCCCGGCGATCCGTTGGTGACTTCACGGAACTATGCCCTGGACCG